AGGAAGAGGCGATCCTCCTTCTGCTTGGTGAATGTCTGCGTCATATTCCAGCCAAATCTGAGCACCCTTGAGTTACATTTTTTTGAATAGTGAAGTGTTGCATAGGAATGAAAAATTTGAGAACCTACCTACTTTCCTGCAATGGCCCATCCACAACAAGCTGGAGGAACACTTGTTATACCAGGGCTGGAATTTGCTTTTTCTGAAGACTTGATGTATAGAGAAAAGCCACCAGTGCCCTGGGGAAATTGAAATTGCAACAGAGTCACCAGCAAAAGCATTCAAAGATCACTAACCAGACCCAGATGAGCCACAAACAGTTCTTAAACCTCTTAAAAATAATGACATTTACAAACAGGCTCATTTGGGGTGGTTCACATTTTCCAGTCTTCTTCTGAACCCGAGAGAGAGAACGGGCTAAAGCAAAAGCAGAGCAACTCTTGCAGTGCCGGCACCCAGGAAATGGGGTGATAACAGGGAGATGTTGTGACACTTGGCACAAGCTGATGCATGCTGGGGGTGCTGGGGCTGTACAGGAGCTCGTCTGCTCGGGAGTGCAGGTGAGGAGTGACCCCTTGGCCCTGTCCCAACAATGTCCCAACCCCTGCCACAAAGGAGTGGCTTTGTGGCCAAGACCTGCACCATGGTCCTGTGCTGGTGGCACCCCTTTCTTAGGATACATGATAGGAAGGCATCATCTGGGGACCTGCAGGAGAATTTTTAGTGCTCAGGATGGTCACCAACACAGGTAGGATGTTTGCTGCTGCCCTGTGATGGGTGGGATGAAGGGAGGTTGGAAAAAGACTGATGCAAATAGTAAGCCCAGGGTTGTCACAAAAAACAGTTCCCAAGATGTTCAAAACTCTCTTGGGTCTGAAGAGCTGCTTTTGTTAGATTTAAAGGCTAAACCCCCCTAGAGCTCTGTTACTTGCTGGGTTTGCCAGGCCTGGAGCTTGCAGTTGTACCTAGGACCTTGCTTCTCGTATCCAAGATGGGTTTGAAAGCAGTTGGTGTAGACAATGCAGAATAGCAAGCCCTGTGCAGCAGTGTGCCCATGGAGGGGAGCAGGTCATGGGGGGATCTGCAGGTCACCAGGAGGAAGGGGGATGGTGCAGCTGGATCCATTCAGGCATGGGAGACAGACCAAGCCATTTTGCATCAGCAAGGTGAGAGCTAGCCCATGTGCAGTGATCAGCTGCTCTTGTATCCAGGGGATACTGCTCAAACACTGATTTTTCCTCCAGAAAAAACAAAGCATAATTTGGTCCATAATGATTTTTGTCTTAGATTCTTTCCTATTAATGCTGAGGAAGCTATTTTGTTGCTCTGGGTGTATGGAAGATATTGAACACCGACAGTTTAGGAAAAGGGATCCTGTGAGTAGCTGCTGTGAAAACATCACATATTTTCTCCAGTTGTAGGAGACTCTGTGGAGCCCAGGACAGTATATCAATTTGTTTTCTCTTCTGTCCTGGAAATGTTGCCCCTGGGGCCTCTGGTTTCTGGGGAAGGGGCTGAACATAAATACAGGGGAATATTAACAAATGATGATATCTACTTTTACTGAAGCTTCTGTTTGTTATCCTTCAGCAAGGGCAGCACGTCCCTGATAGTGACCTTTGGAAATCTGCAGGCATCGGTGGCTTTGCCTGAGGATGGGTGTTGCTGACAGCAGCGTCTGAAGACAAAGGCATCACATAAATCATAGCTTGTTGGGTTGTTCAGAAAAGGCCGCGCCTGAACGGCAATCAAATGCTTCCTGAGGAGGATGAACGTGCTGGGGACAGGCGTTGTGTTTGCAAGGATTATTGCCTGAAACTGGCTGGGGTAGAACTGCACAGCTCCCTGGTGTGGGGGTAAGTTCCCAGCCCAGCTCCTGGCCCGTTTCCCTGTGCTCTCCCAGCACTGCAGTGACACCAAACCCCATGGATTCAGTCCATGGAAACCTTCCCCTCATCTGCTATGGCATACTGGGCAATAGCATGTGGTCAACCCTGGCCACAGTGGTGGCCTCAGGGCTCTGTCCCTTGCAGATGGGACAGCTGTTGCCACCCTCCACCCAGGAGCAATCCTGGGTCAGGAACAGTGCAGGAGGCACTGGCTCCTGGCAAGACTTCCTCCCCTGATCGCTTGTGCCCCTCTCCT